TATATATATATATATATATATATATATATATATATATATATATATATATATATATATATATATATATATATATATATATTGGTATATATATATATTTATATTGGTATATTTATTTTTATTTATATTGGTACATTTATTTTTATTTATATTGGTACATTTATTTATATTTATACGGTCCATTTACTATTTGAAAAATCTATCCTTTCCCAGCCCCGATTTCGTCGACAAAAGAACGAGACTCTAACAATATCTAATAATTAATAATTATCTAAACGGAGCGCGAACTATTAGCACCGTACAAAGTTCAATATTTCCAACGACTGAAACAACATCACCCCTAAATTCGCGTCAATTGAGGAATATTTGTATTCCATGATGTTAAAGCGAGCGCGGTTAAATTACATTGTTTACCGAACGATTAAAAACAGTCCGTCCGCAAACAGCAGAACAGAGGAATGTCCACCGAGAAGATCTTTTAAATCGTGTTCTGTGAAAATCCCGTGCTCGCGTACTCGAAACAGTTCAACGAATCCGCGTGTGCAAGCCCGCGCGCGCGCGCGCGCACACACACACACACGGGTGGTGCGCGACGCCCGAGACGTTTTCCGAGCTCTCCCGTCAATTAGTTAAACGTCTCTTCTTCATCTTTCCTCTGCTAGCCGCGACAAGTGGCTGGGGTTGGCTCGTTTCGTCGCGCAGCGATCCGAGGCAGCCGGATCGGATGAACAATCCCGCCCCGCGCGCCGATCTAATCGAAGAACAATCCCACCGGCGTTCTCAATATCTTAAGCTCGACCTATCCCGCGTATTAATTTACTTTCGCGAGCATATCGACTTCGACTAGTCGGCGGCGGCCATCAATTTCCATTACAGCTTCCGACAGGCATCGCTTTCGGACACACCCCTTTCTGCATCGAGCCCCTGAGCACGGTAATATCGTTACCGATTTTCGCGTCGATCGACGGAACGCTCTCTCTCTCTCTCTCTCTCTTTCTCTCTCACTCTCTATTTATTTATATACAGAGTGTCCCAAAATTATGGTATTTCCGGGAAATGGGGGATTCCTGAGGTCATTTGAAGCAACTTTTTCCTTAGCGAAAATGTTCTACGAGGCTTCATTTACGAGTTATTAACGAAAAACACTGACCAATCGGAGAGCGAGCGCGATTGGCGCTCCGCCCTAGCGGCCAAAGCCGCGTCGCGCCGGCCGTTTGACGCAGCGGCGGTGATCGCGAGGGCGGGGCGTCAGTCGTACGCGATCTCTCGTTGGTCAAGCGTCTTTCGTTGATAACTCGTAAACGATGCCTCGCAGAAAATTTTTGTAAAGGAAAAAGTTGCTTCGAATGACCTCGGTAATCTCTAATTTCCCGGAAATACCATAATTTTGGGAGACCCTGATATGCAAAGAACAAGAAGCCAACGTTAACACTGAAACGATGACAAAGTACAAAACCGATCACGTTGGAGATCGTGTATAATTTTCATTTATCCATGCTTGTCAATATATTTGTTTAAATACTCGCTTTAAACAAGTTAATTCATCTACAGATCCGAGGCGATCCTATAGAATTTCTATATTTATTAAATTATTTGTCAGAAATTAGATAGTCAAATTAGTAATGTTTACGATCCGGGTTAAAACGGACCCGAGAGCCGGCCAGCCGGCCGTCCGTTAAGTACTCGCTTTAAACAAGTCAATTTATCCACAGATCCGAGCGATCCTACAGAATTCCTATATAATTAAACTAGTTGCCAGAAATTCGATAGTCAAATGGTAACGTCTACGATCCGAGTCAAAACGGACCCGGCCGTCCGAGCGTTAATAACGGTAACAGAGAATCAGCGTTTTGGATGAACGGTCCGTGTAAACTCGTTTGAAATTTCCTGATATCTATGTCTCTCCGTGGCCCGTCGCGAGCCATCGAACCCCTTAAACGCGAGCGAGCGAGCGGGCAACCGACAAAGAAAAGAATGGGGAGAGAGAGAGAAAAAAAAGTGGTCCCCGATTCGTTGAAAAGCACGCACAGACAGGTCTCGCGGGCTGGAGCCGACGACCGGCATATGCGTACATGTGTTTAACTTTCCGTCGACGAGGTTCTCTCTCTCACTCTCTCTCTCCGCGACGAGGAGACGCGCCCCGAGGAAGCAGCCCTCGCCTAGCATTGAAATGAAAATCAGCGCGAGCAGTTGCGCGCACCCGATGATCTTCGACCGATAAAGCAGCTGTGCTAGTCGTCTCGAAAGGGCCGACTGGTTCGCGACCGGGTCGCCGCGTGAATACACCAGGAGAGCAGCTCTCTCTCTCTCTCTCTTTCTAACCCCGTCGTAACGAACTTTCGTAATTTTGTTCCGCGATCGAAGAAAAGAGCCGATACGTCCGCATGAAAGCGGCGAGAAACCGGCTCCGGTCGCTCGTCTTCGAGCCTAACCGTCTCGCGACCTACGCGAGCGCGCGTCGAATATGCTAACCGAACGGTTTTCCGCGAGGGAAATGTGCTGCGACAATGGCGGCGTCCTGCGGGACGCGTGCTTCCGTAGCCGCATCCTCCTGGCGCGCGAACGCCGCTCGCCTTCCAGCCGGGATTCGAGGGCTCTAATTACAGGAAAATGCAAATAATTCGAACGGAACCGGCGAGTAGTAAACCGGTAATTGCCGGTGCCGATGCCGGCCATTCCGCGAGCTTTTGCATATAAGAAGCAGAATCGGGAAACGCGTTGCCGCTTCGCTAACCAGCTACGCACTCTTTTCCACGCTGCGTACCGGTGCGCCGGCAGCATAACTAAACAGCTTTTCGAACGAGCCGCGAGAACGCGTCGAAGGATAGCGCGACGTTGGCCGACGAACGCGAGCGCGAGACGATCTTGCGATTATGTCGAGAGGCGCGTAAAAAAGCGTGTTCTGTCACTGGTCGCCGATTTCGTTGGTTCGAGCATTGGCGACCGCTCCGACGACGCCGATGGGGCAACTAACGTGAACGTTTCCGAGGCAAGAAACTGTTGTTCTTAACGCTAATCTTATCGAAGACCGAAAGCGATCTCCGACGCGTGTTGCTTCATAAGCGTGAAAAGATCGAGGTTACGTAGATTCTTGAATGAAGAAAATTCTCCAATAATTCCCTGCGAAAGAGCCTCTTCAATTACGACAGTATTGCAACGAAAATGCTGACACCGGTCGTTTCGACACGGTGGATTTAGCGTACGTGTTTTGGACAATTGCGAATTTACTCGCGAATTTATTAAAACAAGAGACCCGTTTGTCGCGACAACTCGAGAGCTGATATTCGGATCCGAAAAGCTTGGACAGAGAGAGAGAGAAAGAGAGAGAGAGAGAGAGAGAGAGAGAGAGAGAGAGAATGTCAACGAGAAAATCGGCTCGACGAACGAAAAATATGCCAAATCATTGTACGATTAAAGTATCTGTAAAGTACTCGGGCGTCGATCAAATTCGACGATTAAATTAGTTCCGAGTCGAAAAGTGCGTGTCGGATAGAACGCGATAAAAATGTCTGGTTATCGTCTTACCTTGTACGAATGAAGTCGCCGTAAGAATTCCCAATAGATTCGAGCTGGTAGAATGACGCGCGCACATCGTGTCGTCCGAACGGCGAGAATCCATCCGTCGCAGGATGCACGGAATTCGAACGGAAACGATAACGGAAGAAACGGGTTCGAAGATGATGCCCGTCGTCGTCGACGTCCCCGAGCCTCGGCAGATCGGATACGAACGCGAGAGATATTATTGTGCGCGGTTACACGTGCCGCCGCGACTATTTTCCAGGGTCGTAATGCGCCAACGCGATTCTCACGTGTCTCTAACCCGAGCCGCCATCTTGGCCGTCCACCATGCGAAGTGCGGCCCCCACCACTGGCGAGCGTCTCGCCCCTCTCTTTTAGCCACCGCGGAGCGAACTTCTCGATGTATGCGTACCGCGCCGCCGATCGACGGCCGGTGTCACCGCGAAAAAGAATTTTCAACGGGACGCGCGCGGGCCTGGACCACACACACACGCGCGCGCGACCCCTTTGACGCGAGACATCTCCAATTCAGATGGAAACGGATACGGGGACACGGATGATCCGTCGCAGGGCCGCCGCCGCCGCCGCCGAACCAGGCGAAACGAGGCGACGCCGTGCCGGTGAATTGCAAAACGTTGCACGATTTTAATATCGCGCGGGCTGATTCAGTTTCGCATAGTCGGCCGATGAGTCACGTTCACCGTCGCTTCGAGAACGTTATCATGCTGCGGAGGCCGCGTCGCCGGACTTTTGGCACGCCGAGCACCACCACGTGGCCCCCTCTTGGTCCGCCGTGACAACCTCCGTCGCGAACGCTCCCGCGTTCCAATCCTTTGGAAATCCGTTTCCGTAACGACTTCGAAATTGCCGGTGTCCTCGAGAGATGCCGAGAGAAATTCTCGGTACTCGGACGAATCGCTCCGAACCAGATGGTTCTCGGAGAAGCTCCGCCGGTTCCCTCGTTGCGCGCGATGATAAATCTGTCGGCGTTCGAGGCATCGTAGAACACGTTTTCCGAGATTCTTAGAGGCATTGTTTTCCACGGTGTGTCCTCGGTCGCAAGCGAAAGAAGAATTTCTGATTGCGGTAACGAGCAACGTCCGCGCACGGATTTCGCAGATCCCAGATGAATGGAAGCTTCCGACGTTACCGGCGCGCCATGTGCACCGCAAGGTCCCCTCGCCCCGTCCAATCGAGGTTGTTGTCGTAGCAGTCTGGCCGGGTGGACGGTCGGTCGGTGACATTTTCATCGATGCGGAAAAACGTTCGGGCGTGCCGGGATATCGGGACTGCGACGGTTTTGCTCGCGCGTTTGAAAATAGAGGCGCCGCTTAGGTGGCTCGAAGGAGAAGGCGCAACGCCGTTATCCGTCTTATCGGGGGGTATTACGTAAGCGCGAGCGCGTCGCCCACGTCTTTCGCAGAAGGGGCTTCGTGCTCGGCCGATAGCCGAACGCTGAAACACGAACGGAACTAGGGAGCAGAAGCGGCGGCCGGCGGACCGACCGATCGTCGCGTTCCGGATAAACGAGTCCGGCGTGCAACCCGGCAAAAGCAGTTACATACGCCGCGCGGCATGTTGTAACCGTTAAACGTTGATCGGCGTTCGAAAGCTTTCCTCTCCTCGTGACGAGCGCGCTCGTTCTCGGCGGCGCGTTCACGTGAACGCGATTTACTGCGCAGATTCCGAGTCACGCGGCCGACTCTTCATTCGTACCTATGTCGCGGGCGCGCGCGCGCGCGCGAGCGCGATAACTTCTCTTCCTCTTCGCGTCCCACCGCTCTGCCCTCGGACGTCGAACTTTCCTTGTTCCCACTTCGAGCGTCTTCAACCACTTTCCAATACGTACGACTTACGTTTTCGATTCTCCTACTTTCCCTCAGCGCGCGCGAGCGCGCGGACACGGTGTGGCCGTGGTTACTTTTAACTCCGCGAGAGACCACCTAGAGTGCCACACCACGCTCGTCGTCATCGTTCAATTAGTCCGTTTACGACGACACCGACCTCGACGCGCGCGTTCCATTCGCGTAGCTTTCACGCACTTCCAATCGTTTTCTTCGTCGCCTTCCGATCCTACTTGGCTACAGGTTAGGTTGTCACGGGGTGACCCGCCGTCGAACATCTTCGTTACGAACACCGCGGAAGCGCCGTATCAATTCGGCGCAACAGTTTCAGCGTGAGCCAGTGTCTAGACAGTACGCGTCAGCGTAGTGTTTGGTAGCTCGTTCCTTCGCCAATGTAGCATTTCCCTTTCCAATAGGCCTCCGTATATCTTTCGACGATTCTCTCGAAACGTCGCGTAATCGCATTTCTGGCGCGTCGGCGGCGGCGGTGCGCGCGTTTCGCAGCGACGGTTGGCACCAGCGTCGCTTCTCTCGTTCTCGCGTGTCACTGTCGCGTCGGTTCCCCGCGAGAATCGCGGCGAAACTCTGCCGCTCGATGACAAACGGTCCTAATGTGGGCAACGTGAAAGTATGCGTAATACACGCGCGCTGGTTCGCTGGTAGCGGGCGCGGGCGCGGGCTCGCGCGCCCGTTCGTTCGTGAGAAAACATGACCGAGTCGCGTGCGCGCTTTGCTTCTGCGCACGCGAGAGACGCAGTTTAAGCCGTGCGAGGAGAGAGAGCGCGACGTCTCTCGCGCTACACACTGGGTGGCCCGGGTTAGCGTACGGCGCAGTTAAAATGGCCGCGCGAGTGTGTTATTTCCTTTCTCCGTCTGTCTGTCGGTCGTCTACCCCCTCGCCTCATCGTTCCTCTCTCTCTCTCTCTCTCTCTCTCTCTCTCGCGGCGTGCTCGGTGGCAACACACACAAACACACGAGCGCGCGGTGGCGGCATCCCGTAACCGACCCGACCCGACCCGACCCGACGGATCGCGTGGACGCGCTCGCGCGCGCGCGCGTTACACACGCGGCGGACGAATGCGGGACACGATCTCGCGCGTAACGGCGCGAACCTCGTCGTCCTCTCGTCGACGGAACGAGACTTGCTCGTCGACGCTCGTCGTACGCCGGCATGTCCCGCGAAAAGCGGAGCAAAAGAAAACGGACGCGACACGATTATTCGCGGTGACACTCGCGGCAGATGCTCGCGCGAAGATCCGCGTGGGACTGTGCGCGGTGGCGCGAGTCGGACGCCGTGAACGACGACGGGACGGGGAACACCGAGCGGTCGAGCACAGAGACTCGAAACCGAGGAGATGCGATGCGAAAGAGCCGGCCGCGCCGCCGAGCGGCAGTCGCCGGAACTGCGAGGGTAAATAGCGCCCCGCGAGGAGGGGAGGGCCGGAGCGGTCGGCGGTGGGGGCAGCAGGGGAGAGCAGGGGCTCTCTCGCGTACCGAGCCGTACGTCGGATAGGGACTGGCGGTGGGAGGGGGAGGGGGGTCGAGAGGAGGCAGGCGCTCGGGGAACGCCGAGGACGGGCGAAGGGAGGAACGGACCGAGGGCGACGGAGACGGACAGATCGGCGAGGGGGGAGGGGAGACATCTCAAGAGTGCGTCGGGCCAAGTGCGCGAGTGTCGTCACATCCGGTATTCGGGGTGGCGCTGTACCGGCTCGTCCCAGTGTGTGCGTGCGCGATAAAAGCCGCGGCACGCACGCACACGCATACGCGCACACGAACGCGCGAGCGCGCAGGGTGGAGCAGCGTAACGCGACGCAACGACGCTGGCCTCCGCGACGTGTGTGCACGGAAAATTATGTGGCACACAGGTCGCCGGGATTCTAGCGACTCGGCGACCCGTCACGTGAGCCGAGCATGTGCGTCGTAGTACGCCGGTGTGTTGCGTCGTTCCGTCGCTTGAAAAATGCGCGGAGAGACGCTTCCTTCGGGTTCCGCGGGCCTTGCTTGTTATCGCGGACGCTCGCGGTTTGCGCGCGCGCGCGTGCCGAGCCGCCGATGCCCGTCAGGGAACCGCGCGGGATTTCGATTTCGCACGGATTCCGTTGGCCGCGGTCGCCGGGGGAGCGCGCGGGCCGGCTCATCGTGGAACGGACGCGCGCGGGTGCAACGTATCCCGCGCTATGCGGAAAATCGTGTTTCCTATTGCGTTCGGTACTGTTAACGATGTTACGCATGGCCCTCGTTTCCGCAGCGAGAGCAACCTCCTCGCGCCGCGCGCGGTCGTTTCACCGCGAATCGCAGAAAATTTACCGCTCGGCCGCCTCCTCCGACACTTCCCAAACTCCCGCGATCCGTTTCGTATCTCGTCAAATTAACCTCTTAGGCACGACGCGCCTCTATAGTGGCTCACTCTAGTAGCTCACTCGCTCACCATTTGAATTAAATAATTATCTACATATGCATTGTTTCACACATATTTTGTCTTCACATCGATTTGTAACAGTGTTAACAATATACAGGGTGTCCCAAAAATGTCTCGCAATCCGAAAGTGGCGGGTTCCTCGGATCATTTGAAACAATTTCTTCCTTTACAAAAATGTTCTCCGAGGCACCGTTAACGAATTATTAACGAAAAACAGTGACCAATAAGAATCGAGTACGGCAACGCGAGGCGGCCCAGCCAGCCAGCGCATGAAGCCCAGTCGCCTCGCGCCAGCCGAGCTCGCCTCTCATTGGCCACTGTTTTTCGTTAATAACCCACCACTTTCGGATTGCGAGACATTTTTGGGACACCCTGTACAGACGGTTATATTTACAGTATCAGACTCAGTACTACAGTACATATCAGACTCTGCCGTCCAGGAAAATAGCCTCGCGCACAATTCAGCCGTACCTAAAAGGTTAACTAGCGCGGAAAGTTTCGGTCGTCCGGCGCCTGAAACTTCAGCGAATTTAACGTCGAGTCGTTCGAGAGAATTTCGGCAAATCTTGGGGGGGGGGGGTCGACGTCTCTGTACGCCACGTTCCCGCGATTTCGAACGACTCGCCGGTGAAACATGGGCAACGCAAATACCTTACCGATCCTCCCATCGGTTTCCCATCGGTTCCCCATCGGTTCCCCATCGGCTGCGAAACGAAACGAAACAAAACGAAACGTAGAACGATCGTTGCCCGTGTCGCGCCGCGCCGCGGACAGGACGAACAAATTTCTGGGACGGGCATGGTTGATGGGTTTACGGGGCGGCGACAAATGGGTCATCTTACCGAAATACGCGGGGCTCCGCTCCGCCGCGCGCCGGGGGAATGATGAATTGTCGCGGCTCAATTAGGGACAATAAGCGGCAAAGAATAGCACACGACCGTTCTAAAAGTAGCACGAACTTTATGTACAACGACACGGTTCCCGAGCTCTCCGAGAGGCTCTCTCGGATAGAGCGTGCTAGATATCTTCTTTATGGAAGGACAGGGGGGGGGGGCACCGTCGCCGGAGAAAACGCACGCCTTCGCGGCTCCTATACGTCCCTGATTGTTACGGAATAGAGACGGCGCAGCAGAAATAGCACTGTTCCGTCGACATTCCTTATAATCCGAGCGTCTCGACGCGTCGCGACACGACACGACACGACGCGACGCGAGGACGCGCACGGCGGAGATAGCGAACGATACGATTGCGCGCGACGAATCGTTTTCCGTCTCGTCCCGTCCCGTTCCATTCCGTTCCATTCGGCGTGTGCGTAGGTATGCGAGAGATGGCTCGCCGTCGTCGCCGTCGGTTTGCCCGCGCGCGCAACACCGTCGCTGCGCCACATGCACGCGCGCACACACGTACACACTTCACTCGAGCACTCGGCTTTTCTAGAATGAGCCGTAACCAACACGCTCTCGTAACCAATTAGATTTGATCGTGGCCTCTGTGGGTCTGGGCACCCGTGAGAACGTGCGACTTCGCGCGAGCTTTTCCTACGCCGGACGACGCGCAACACCGCGGGACGAATTCCAGAGAGCATCTCGTGCGACGACGCGACCGTTACCGTTTCAACGTGGTTCCCTTCCGACGCGAGCCTGTCGGTTACGCGACCGTTATTAATCACCATTCGATTTCCGGAACGGAGGCTGTAACGCCGCCCGCCCCCTCTCCTCCTCCTCCTCCTTCTCTTCCTCCGATCGATCCTAGATGTCGTTACACTTGCGACAACATCCGCAGCCCACTAGCCAATAACCGTGTCACGGCCGATCTCGATGGAATCGTTTCGGGAACCGCCGCGAACCTATCGGCGGAATGAACCGACGCGCGCCGAACGACCGCCGAATCCGAGCGAGCGAGCGAGACACGCGTATCTCGCGGCACTGTTGCGAAACCAGCGTTGACTGCCGTACGCGACCGACATGCACTAGTAGTAGGTGTATCGGATCGCCGTGACGGGCCGAACCGCCGAAAAGAGCAACGAGGCGGACGAACATTGGCCGGTGACTGACGCGCGAACGAAAAGTCGTCGAACGTTTTGTTATCGTTCCGCGCGGTCGTCGAGGAACGACCTCGGGCGGGTCACACGGACGCACACATGGCAGTCACGTGGCGGTTGACGTAGCGGCGATGCAGCATTTCATTCACGACGATCGATTTCATTAGCGGAACACGCGTCGACGTTCCGTCTCGGCGAAACCTTTGAATCGACCGAGCGCGAACAAACCGGCGACCCGACGGTTCCCCGTATCGTGGAATAATTTCCACCGGCATATTGATTTATCCGGGGAACGCGGCGGCGACGACGGCTACACGACGACGGTGCACGCCCCGTCGTCCCGCCGCCGATCGCGGGGCCTGGCAACCACCGATGACGCGCGCCGATAACCGCTGACGTCCCGATTCGGCGAAAAGCCTCTGTTCTATCGCGTTATTGCTTTCCCGCCGCCGCGTTTCCACCGTCGCCGTCCCGAGTCCCCCACTCCCCGTCGCCCGTCGCTTCTACGTAGGTCGCGGCGGTCACGTGACGCCGTGACGTTTCCCGACGCAGCCTCCTCACGTGTTCGAGCACGTCACGCGTCCTCGTGGCGATCGGCCCAGCCGGAATCGCGCCGCGTCGACGAGGAGGTGGGGCCTCCGGGTCCGACGGATTCTTCGGACGGGACGAACCCGTCGCTGACGCCGGATCTTTCAGTAAATTCATCGACACACGACTATCGACCCCGCGATCCACGAACCGATGGGATGTTTGCAACTCGTAAACATTCGATGGAACTCTTCCTCGTTCCGCGATTCCAACGCGGACCGCGCTCGTGCGCAAATATTTGCTTCGCGGCGTTGTTATTGTCATCGGGTGAACTATTGCGATGCTGCTTTTCTTCGCGATAGCCGGCGCAGTGGCTCGCCAGGGAACAGGATTTGCCGGCTCGAAACGATTCTCTCGACGGTTTCCGTGGAAGATGTTTTTGCCTTCGAAACGGGCCTGATAATACGCCACGCGGAAAAAGCACGGTTTTCTTTGAAGCTTTGCTTCTAAACTCGGACCGGACCCCCCCCCCCCCCCCCCC